ATTGTGCCCACATGTACATACTTACCGGTGTGTCTAATAGCATGCATGCCACCACCCCGAGTCTCTAACCTGGTTTTTGTATGGCAGCCTTGGTCCCCTTTCCCCAGACTGCTTGCTGTCCCTGTCCAAGCTCTCTTACCCCTTTGTCCCTCAGTCTGAGTGTTCAAAAGCTGGGGGAGGGGATGAGTCATGTTCCAGGCATGGTTTGGTGCTGACCAGATGGGGAGGGTGGGGCTAAAAGATATGAGAAAGTCATGTGCAGCTGCTTCAGGGGGAGAGAGGCAAGGGGAGTAGGGAGGAAGGAGCCACAGAATTCCAGTGTGGAGGGAGGGAATGGTAAGGGCTATGAGCTGGAGCCAAGATAAGGGGAGCCTATAGCAGTATGTCAGTTCAGGGCCACTCTGAAGGACCCAAGGAGATTGGAACTTGAGCCTGCCCTGGGCACTGATGGGTGATGGGAGCCAGAGGAAGGAATAGTACAGAAAGCACCAGAGTGCCTGCCTTGGGGCTCCTGGTCTGAGAGCAGCATAGGAAACTGAGGTACAGTCAGTGACAATATGGACGGTGCAGGCAGTCGGTCATGGTGCTGCCTGAGGTTCACTCTAATGGACATCACATCACATGGGCATCAGACAAGAGGAGCTCGTCTTCCCTACCCTGTCTACATGAGCTCCCTGCAATTTGGCATAGGATGCAATGTGGTGGATAGGATGCTTCTCAGGGATCAGAGGACAGTAGAGGTACTTTCAAGAAAGGCCTAACCTTTTTAGAGTCCAGAGCATTTCCTTACAGGCGTTTATGAGAAGTCACTGGAGGAATGGCCCGGCTCATGCCCATGGGGCCCTTGGGTCTGAGAGCAATCCCTGTGCCATGTCTGAGGAATTCCTCCACAGCCAGGGATCAGTAGCCCTGCCCAAAGGGTCAGATGTGCTCCCCGGAGCTTGGCAAGCACCTCCCCCATCCTGAATGCCTAGGTCCAGGTGGAGTCCTAGCAAAAGATCCAGATGAGCCAGTGAAAACTGCCCCTTGGGACCAAGTGAGTGGCCTGCTGGAAAGAAGGTAGGGAGACGAAGTGGGGTTCTTCCCTGTGAGGTTTCCCAAGCTACGGAGAGGGAGTGGAGGAGAGGAAGGGGAGGAATCTCGGGAAGGACTCCTGTTCCACTGGAGGACAGAGGGCCCAGCCTTGAGACGAGAACTGTGTGTGTCTGGGTCCCTCGCGCTGCGGAGTCACTCTCATCACACTCTGTTAGTGTGTCGCACGGCCGGCCTCATTTGACCGCGCCCTGCATCACGAGGTGGATATTGCCTCCATTTTGCAGATACACAAGCTGAGGCTCAGAGCTGTGAAGTGACTTTGAGACGATCCAGGATTAGGGCCCAGGGACCCTTCCACTATACCCCGATGGGCTGTGTGTGTGGGAGAATTTAAGTAGGCTCCTTCCAGAGGCTGAAGAAGCCTAAGTAGGGAAACAGGAAAGGGACACGTGGCTGAGAGAGCCGAGTGAAGGGGAGCAAATCCAGAGAAACCCTCTGCACCAGGGGCTGGTCCCTTCGTCCATGCTTGTCACCCAGGTGAATGTGGAGCATCCGCCCCTTAGCGTCTTTGTACCAGAGACTCTTCCCTTCCTTCGTCCTTCCTTCCAGCCTCTAGAGAGATGGGAGCAGGGCTGTGGGGACCATTTTTACAAGATCTCACAGACACTCACTCTGCACAGTTTTTTGCCCTTTACTAGCTGTGTGACTTGACAAGCCACAGTCTCTCTGAGCCCCAGGCTCAGACATGACAGGAGCACAATGGGCCAATAGTGCGGGGGTTGCAGGTTTATTGTGAAAAGTGAGGAAGAGGCCTTTGGATGCAGACGTGGTGTTGACAGGTGAACAGGGACAGCAGGGCAGCCAGTCCCGGGGCCGCCTCCCGCACTTCCCTTGCTTGTCACCTGGTTGGTTCCAGCTCCTTTTTTCTGCTCTAGGGACCAGCACACTGTTAGGAGCCTCTGTCCTATAAGTTGACAAGTATTTAGGTTGCTGCCCTACCAGAGATTCCAGAAAAGAGGGGGCATGGGAGGTGTTGGGGCTGGGAATCCGGGCAAGAGGCAGCCATGAGCCCCATCTTAGGAGCCGAGTCAGCAGGACACTGGGGCACAGATGATCCACAGAGCAGCTCGCATTGTCCTCATGGCAGTCTGGACAGTGGTGACCTTTGGGATTTGGCTGACAGAGCACCAGGGGTGGGGGCCGGGGGTGGTGGTGGAAGGGGCAGGGGGCACTGGCCTGTAACAAGAGCCTCTGTCCCCAGCCTAGCCCTGAGGGTGTACACACATCTCATAATGGGGCTGGCCTAAGTCCCTGGGCACCAGCCAGAGGATGTACTTGGCCAACTTTGGGTTGACTCCATTCGCCCATGTTTAAGGGTACTGGGCAGGGCAGCCGAGAGTCTCCTGTCTCCCACGGGTGGCAGTGTGGGGCTAGGCGGTCACTCGCTCCTGGCCTCTTCACCAGTCCTGGAGCAGCCCAGCCAGGAGCAGAGGAGTAAATATTTAGGTTGGCTTAGCCCTGGCCTCAGAGTCACCCACTCTGGTGGTGTGTGGAAAGGAGACCCAGATGGCAGAGGAAACTCCCAGGGGACAGTGCCAGCTGTCCAAGAGCAAGGAGGAATTTGGGGATGATGGGGACAAGCTGCTCCATGAGAACCCTGGAGAGGTGGTTTCCAGCCTGGGCTGCAGCCGCTGTGGCACAGTGGGGAGCTGGGAGTGGGCTGGTGAAGGGAAGGGCAGTGCCACCTCCTCTGGCCCTTCCGTTCACTGTTCCCTGGGGGTGGAAGGCTGGGTGGGCAGCAAGGTCTGAGACCGGAGAGCCTTGCCTCCCCCACCCAGAATGGGCTTTCTGGGGAAGGGCACTTAGAGGGAGGAAGCTAGGAGCTGGCGGTGGAGGCAGCAGGGAGTGGGAGGGACAAAGGGGGAGAGGAGGAGCGGAGGTGCCCTGGCTGGAGCTGGGGTGATGAGGGCATCAGAGCCCAGGTCTCCGTGCCGGTGCCGGGAAGGTGCCCAGGCCAGGTGAGTGACTGGCCGGGCGCGCGGTGTCGGGAGGAGGCTGCTAGACGGGGAGGTGTGTGTGAGGTGGGGAATGCGAGGCTGTGCATGAGGCTGCGAGGGAGACGGAGAAGACGCATCTCTGAGAGGTGTTGCCTGTGACTCAGAAAGGGGCGAGGCGGAGGCTCCACGGGAGGGACTGAGGGAGAGAATGTGGTCGCAGGAGTAGCTGTGTGTGCAGGGGAACTGACCGTGCACCTGAGCCACAGTGGGGCAGGAAAGGGCGCTGGGGGCCTGTGTGCCACTGGCAAGATATTGGGGGCACGTGCGTGTGAAAGACTGGATATGCGGCCTGTGGATGAGGGAAGCAGGTGGGGCCACGCCATCCCTGGCAGAAAAAGCAGCTCAGGCAAGGTCCTGGGGGGGCTCTTTCAGGAGAGGGCCAGCATCCTGGTTAGGGAGTGTGAGAGGTGCTGTCTGCAGAGACCCAGAGGCCAGCCTCCGGGGCACACTTTATGGAGAGGAGAAGGCAGCCTTTGAAGGCACCAGGCAAACCTAGGACAGTAGAGTGGAGGATGGGCTGGGTTGGGGCATTGAGACGCTCACACTTTCCTGTCTCCTGTAAATGCCTCTCTGCTAGAAAGCCTCTCTTCCTCTCATTGCCCTTCCCTCTGGGAAGTCCCTTTCCTCCCCCACGTGCAAGCCTTTTCATTAAGGGGACAGACGACAAGCATCCCCTCACCCATCCCTTGCCACCTAGCTCTTAGCATAAACCTCCCCTCGGCCTTACAATGCACCACTGGCCGGGAGGCTGGCCCCCCTGAGCCTCTTAAGGACGGGGCACTCTGCCTCAGTCTTACCCACCCTGCCCCACCTGGTGGCTGTGCAGGCCCTCCCAGGTTGCGCTAACCATTGCTCTCCCACTGATTTGCTGATTAGGCTGAAGCCCGGGAGCAGCACCTGACCTCCCTGGTCTCAGGTGCATCTGAGAGAAAACCTCACTCCTGCCTCTGCAGATCTGGGATGGATCCCAGGTGGAACCAGGCCAGCGGTTGCCACAATATAGGAACCTAAAGAGCTCAGCCCACTCTGTTCTGAAGCCTTTCATGCCATTCTTCCTCTTAACAGTCCCTGGCGGAGGGTACTGTTGGTTTTAGTCACTTCACAGGTGTGGAAACTAAGGTGCAGGGAGATTGAGTCAATCCCCAAGTTACATGGCTGGTGGTCACAAAACCAGGGTCTGTGTACAGTGAGCCCCGGCTCCAGAGCTTTTGTTCTTAGCTCTGTTCTCCTAGAACAAACCTGCTCTGCTCCTCACTAAAGCCACTGAAGACTAGCGGATGCTCTGTCCTCGCGCACTGGCCACCCTCTGCATGACCCGGTCCTGTCCCTGTCCCTGCAGCGTCCTTTCCTCCCACTGCCTGCGCCTGCAGGTCTAGGAGCTGATCAGACAAGGAGCCTTCAAGAAATCTCCCGTCTTGGAAGCTACAGGCTTAGCCCTGGTCTGAAGACCCTGCCTTTAGCAGCCGCATGCTGTGGGCTCTTCCCCAGCTATGCCATCTGTCTTGGGTGCTAGGCCACACCCAGGTGAATCATCCCAGGGCATTCTCCAGTGAGGGGGAAGCCTGGAAGCCCCATCTGGCCTGGGCTTAGAATCGGGCCATATGTTCTCTGAAGCAGGGTGGCCTCCCCCTCGCCTTTCCTTGTGCTGGAGGGAAAGGGGCCTCTGGAACCCTAGTAGTGACTGAGGTGTAAGGAGTAGAAGGTAGGAGGGGCACTAGTCAGATTGGTAGAGCTAAAGAGATTCAGAAACTAAGGCTGCCCAGTCCCTCCCAGGGGCAGCAAGTGGAATATGGTTTTCTGGAGAAACAGGACTAAGAAGACTGGAGAATTCGGGGTTTAAAGAGGCCAGAAGACAAGCAGACAGCTCCTGTCACTCTGATATTTGTGTCAGATGCCTGTTCATTAGTCATGCAGATCCGCAAGTGGGAGCTGCTGCACTCTCCAGGCAGGTGCACCAAGCACCCAGACCAGCACCGAAGGGACAGGCACAGCTGGAAGAAGGATCTCATCCAGTTCTGCTACTCGCCAGCTGTGTGGCCAAAGGCAGGCAGCACTCCCTCTCTGGGCCTGAGCATCGGTTTGTGTAGCTGGGCATCAAGGAAATCAGACGCATTGATCTAGGAGGCAGTTGTGCACAGTGGTTAGGAAAACTCAGACTCTGGAGTCAGACTGCCTGGGTAAGATTCCAGCTACACTTCCTCTCAGTCCCATGACCTTGAGCACTCAGACTCGGTAAAATCATAGTTTCCACTGCCTGTTGTAAAGATTTTAAACAGGACAACATGTCCTTTTTGACTCATAGTAACAATGACCTGTCGCTTCCAGTTATAAGCCTCAATAAATCTTTGTCCAACACAAATAAACAGGAGACCGAGGAATCCGTACTCCCTCCTTCACCCGTTACGGCCCCGTTTTGGTAGCATTTTGTTGTTATTGACAGTGCTATTTAATATAGATACCGGGGAAAACTCAGATTCCTTTCCTCCACATCTACTCTAAGAATTCAAATAAATGCTTTCTGTTAATGGTGGGCAGCTGATGCCCCCAAGCAGTGGGACCATCCAGCAGCCCTTGGACTGCAGGGTACTGGCAGGAGATGTGGTATTGGAGAAGATGCTGTGAGCATCTGTGAGTAGGTCATTGCTGAAAATACCCCAGGAGTGGAAGTCTGGTATCAAGTCTCACCTGGCAGGAAGTGAGCCTGGAGTGGAAAGTACATAGTACACCAGCCCCCTGCCTCCCCTCCACTGACCCGAGGGAATGGAAGATCAGAGGCCAGCCTGGTGGGGCACGGCGATTCCAGACATGTGGCCCAAGAACATTTCCTGTTGAGCAGAAGTTGGGGTGAACCCAAGCTCTGATTCACCCTCCTCACATGCCTAGGGTCATAAGGAACCTAATGGGACCTTTCTCACCAGCTGAGCCTCAGTTTCCCTTCCTGCAATATTGGTGGAAAATCTCCCCGTACATTCCCACATCTCACTTCCAGAGATCATTTACAGTAAAAGGAAGTTAGAGAAATGTCCTTATAAAGTCAGAGGACTTCAAGAGGGCAGGAGGGTTTGTGGGGTGACAGCAGTCATCTGTTCAGATCCCCTGTGACACTCGCTGGTCTCCTGCAATGACGGCAGTTGCCACACGAGCACTTTCTGAGCACCGTCTCTGGGAGGGCGTTCTTTTGTGCCCTCCACACGGACTCGGGAGTCCTCACCGCAACCCTGCCAGGTAAATGCTCTCGTCATCATTTACACACGAGGCTTACAGAAGATAGGAGATTGTGGGGTGCCAGCTAATACATTGCAGCATTGGGGTGGAACCATGGGCCCCTCGCTGCAGGTCCAGGAACCCAAGGGGGCCCCTGTATCCTGTTCTTGGAGCACTTACACTCCAGCAGGTGCACAGGGAGCACTCACTGAGCGGGGCTTTCAGTGAGCGAGGCCGGGGCCACACTGAGACAGCTACACAGGGCTTTGTACTCACAGTGCCAGTGCAGGGCCATTGGGGTCCTACAAGAGAAATGTCATTGTCACCAAGTATTTCCTAGGCAGGGGGCCTTGACAGATTTTTTAAAAATTGACTTAAGAGATAGAGGAAGGAGAGGGAGAGAAACATCGATGTGAGAGAGAAACATCAATTGGCTGCTTTCCACATGTGCCTCAACTGGGGATCAAACCCGCAATCTTGGTATGTGCCCTGACCGGGAATTGAACCCACAACCCTTCAGTGCACAGGATGATGCTCAGCCAACTGAGCCACACTGGCCAGGTGGGGCCTTGACAGATTTAGACCACTTCTAACCAGGACCTGGTAACTTCTCACAGAGCAGTTAGGCAAGGCATGGAGAGGGGTGAGAGCCGGGGGCACCTCTGGTGCAGGTGGGCTGGAGCCCAGGGTGCCAGCAGTCAGTTGGGAGGGGCCCCCATCCGTGGCCCCAGTCCAGCCTCCCCCATTCATGCAGTGAGTCAGTAACAGCAAGGAGCCCTTGGCCTGCTGGTAATGCCATTAGTAACCCCGCGGGGAAAGCGGAAGTGGAGAGGGAAGGGAAAGGTGAGCCAGCCCACCTCCCTCGGCCAAAGGCAGCCACAGCTGCAGGCAGCTGGTGCGGGTGTCTGCCCTTAACCCTCTCTTGCCCTCACTACCTCCATCTAAAATGGGGTGGCCAGGAGCCTGGCTTGTCAGAAGCACGGGGGGATTTTGATGAGCACTAGTATCTAGGCACTTCTCCAAACCTGAGTAAGAATGTCAGCCAGAGCCTGGCCGGTGTTGCCCAGTGGTTGAGCGCCATCCCATGCATCCCAACCAGAGGTCACTGGTTCGAGTCCCGCTCAGGGCACACGCCCGCACTGCCTTGCTAGATCCCCAGCAGGGTGCGTGCAGGGGGCAGCCAGTCAATGTTGACGATTCTCTCTTGATGTTTCTCTCTCTTTCCCTCACCCTTCCTCTCTTTAAAAATCAATAAAAACACGTTTAAAAAAACGAATGTCAGCAAGACAACTCTAGAATCTGTACTTGCAAAAAGTACAACCCCTCCCCCATGAGGCCCTGGCCATGGGGCTGTAGGACCCTGACCCACCCTGATGAGGGTGGCCCGTGAGTGCCACACAGGGAAAGCATCGGCTACGAATGAGCCCGGTGCCTTCACGGTGAAGTCTGTGCTTTTCAGCAGTTCTGTTCTGAAGATCTTCCTGGCAGTGCCCTGTATGAACTTCCCAGGAGGCTTTGGAACACCTGGGGGGTGTGCTTTTTCTTTTTTTAAAAAATATATTTTTATTGATTTCAGAGAGAGGAAGGGAGAGGGAGAGAGAGAGAGAGAGAGATGATGAGAATCATTGATCGGCTGCCTCCTGCACGCCCTCTACCGGGGATCAAGCCCGCAACCCGGGCACATGCCCTGACCAGGAAGCAAACCACGATCTTCTGGATCCTAGGTCTATGTTCAACCGCTGAGCCACACCAGCCGGGCTATTCTTTTTCTTAAGTCACTGGGTTAAAGGGGAAAGGTAAAAATCCCAGACCCACATGAGGGAGGTGTCTTTTGCAGGGCCGTGTCCAAACACAGGTCCTTTCCAGGGCCTGAGCTGAGCACGGGGGGCTGGGGGAGGCCTGCCTCCTCCAACTGGTCCCCATCCTTCTGCCCTTTTCCCTCAGTATGTGAAGATCTTCCGGGCTCTGATCCTGGGGGAGCTGGAGAAGGGTCAGAGTCAGTTCCAGGCGCTCTGCTTTGTCACCCGGCTGCAGCGCAATGAGATCATCCCCAGTGAGGCCATGGCCAAGCTGAGGCAGGTGAGTGCCTGCTCGGGGCCTGCCCGGCCACCTTCGGTCCCAGAGCTCTCACCCGCAGCCTGCATGGCCCCGAGCCTGCACACTGCCCCTCAGTCTCCCACCCAGCACCTGACCTCACCCTCATACCTGGTACCCCACTCTCACCCTGTAGCCCCGAACCCCCTGACTTTGCCCCAACCAAACCTGACCGCGTACCCCAGATCTCTAATGTGCACTGAACCCCCACTCCAGCCCCTAATGTCAGCTCCTCCCCATTCATGATGGAGGCTAGGGGCTTGGCCTCGGAAGTCGGATCTGCCTTCTGACCCAGTACACCTTCGTTATCTGGGTACCATTGGACAAGTTACCGCACCTTCAAAGCCTCTACCTGCCCCAGGCCCTTCCCAGAGAGACTCAGTTTCCTAAATGTTGGAAAGTATGGAGCCCCAGAGGTCATTTATGTGGGACAGCTTGCCTGCCCTCCCCCCCCAGCAGCATGACTGAATTCTTCAGGCTGCAGAGGACGGCCCAGGGGCCCACTGGAAAGGCTGGACTGCACTCTGGGTACCAGTGTCTCTGCCAGTTGGAGTAGGGGTGGGTGCCCTTTGACTGCCACCCTGTAGATGGCCCCAGGGTTCTACAGACAACCAGCCTGGGCTTGTCTGATTGTGATCGGGTAGAAATGGGCAGGGAGCATTCTGAGACCCGGTGGGAGTAGCTCTTCTCCCCACAGAAAAACCCGCGGGCAGTGCGTCAGGCCGAGGAGACGCGGGGCCTCGAGCACCTGCGCATGGACGCCATCGTGAACTTCAGCCAGGGCGGCCTACTGAGTCCCCACCTCCGCAATGTGTGTGCAGAGGCTGCAGACGCCATCTACACCCGCCAGGAGGATGTCAAGTTCTGGCTGGAGCAAGGTGAGCTGGGTGCTGCCCTCTGCTGTAGGGTCCAATCTGATAGAGCCAGTGAGGAGATGGGGGCGGTCGGCCGGGAAGGGGCCTCTGAACCAGGCTGGGATTGGTCAAGGCGGTGACGACAGCCAAGTGGAAGGGACCCATTCCAGGTAGGGACACACACAACTATGACTCTGCTGGGCCTTGCGGAGGGAGAGTCCCAGGCACATCCCATTCCATCCCTGACCTTTATGAGAACATAAATGGGTCCTTCTGTCATGTGAGGGGCACCGCACCAGGGTTGGGGGGGCCCCAAAGACACCCATGCCCACACGCTCATCTCTGCCGCCGCCTCTTAGAAATCCACTTCTCCCCTTCCTTCCACACCTTCCCTGGTGCCCCATCTGTCCCCCAGGATCCCCAAGGATCTTTGCCTTTCTGGCCTGTGTGGCCTCACTCCTGGGCCATCTCCTGGTCCTTCTCTTAGGGTTGCTCTCAGGTCCTCTGTATAGAGGGACAGAGAGGCGTCACCATTCCAATCCCAGGGCCCTGGGCCCTGGGACCTCTGCTCAGCTGGCTGCATAGCAGCCTAGGTTTAGAAATGCCCAGAGAGCTGTCACACCTACCACACCCCTCCCCAGTGGGCTGCACCCCTAACTGAGGCATAAGCCCAACACTGTCCCCCAGAGGCTGGTCCTGTGGCCACTGAGCTGAGCCAGGGCCCAGGGCCTGCCATCTTCCCCAAAACCGCTTATGTACACACTCCTATGTCCCCTGTGCCCTGGCCATCCTGGGTCCCCCGTCTGTGCTGGCCCTGCCCGGCCTGGTCCTACTTAGATAGCGTTCCCTGTAGGAAGCTTTGTATGATCCCCTTCCCATCCCC